TAAATTGCACCAGAACGTTATTAAACCTTTCGGTAACACAAACATTTGAAGATATGTTGTATGACCGGACAAAGGATGTTTATTTGAGTTGGGACGAACCATACTGCAGAAGATGTGAAGTGGAAGGCAGGAAATGCAGACTGAAGAAAAATAATAGTACTACAGAGGATGAGACAGAGTGTTATGGTCCATCCAAGAAAGAAAGAAAGAAAGAAAGAGGTATGGTTTTAAGTTTTAACAATTCCAAATGTTATGAATGCCATCAATGCTCTCTGAGTTCATTTGTCTTCCTTAATTTTCTAGCCTTTACTTGTTCTGTTGCTTTAAATGCTTTTTCTTTTGATTCTGAGATGAACATCTAGTTTAAAATTTTACATCCCTGGCCATTGGCCAAAAACTTCGATACCTCGGTTTTGTCATATCAGATTGTAATAGATTTGAAGAACATATCAAGAATCTAACTTTTGAATCTTTTACAGATAGACCGAAACAACTGATGGCTACAGGAATAATCCTAGGTTCCTGTCTTCTTGGAATAATTCTCTTTGCACTTTACCGCGTCCACCATTCATATAAAGCAGAGAAAGAGGGCCAACTCAAGATTGAAAATTTTTTGGAGGATTACAAAGCTCTCAAACCCTCAAGATATTCTTATGTTGATATCAAGAGAATAACAGATCAGTTCAAGGACAAACTTGGAGAAGGGGCCTATGGAACAGTTTTCAAAGGGAGACTTTCCAATGATGTTTTGGTTGCTGTCAAGGTCCTCAACAATTTCAGAGCGACTGCAGAAGAGTTCATTAATGAAGTGGGATCAATGTGTAGAATCCACCATGTCAATGTTACTCGCTTGATTGGATTTTGTGCAGATGGAAATAAAAGGGCTCTTGTTTATGAGTATATGCCAAACGAGTCCTTAGAGAAGTTCATATTTGTAGCCAGAGATAAAGATCGTTTCCTCAGTTGGGAGAAGCTTCAAGATATTGCTATTGGAATAGCCAAAGGAATTGAGTACTTGCACGAAGGTTGCGACCAACAAATCCTTCATTTTGACATCAAGCCTCACAATATCTTGCTAGACCATAATTTCAATCCCAAGATCTCCGACTTTGGTCTAGCAAAGCTGTGTTCCAAGGAACAAAGTGCTGTTTCTATGACAGCAGCCAGAGGAACAATGGGATATATTGCGCCTGAGGTATTGTCTAGGAACTTTGGAAAAGTGTCCTATAAATCTGATGTTTATAGTTTTGGAATGCTATTGTTGGAAATGGTGGGAGGGAGGAAGAATATTGACAGCACAGTTGAGAGTACAAGCCAAGTTTATTTCCCAGAATGGATGTATAATTGCTTGGACAGAGGAGAAGAGCTAGGGATTAGAATAGAAAATGAGGGACATGCTAAGATAGCAAGGAAACTTACAATTGTTGGACTCTGGTGCATTCAGTGGTATCCAGTGGACCGTCCATCAATGAAAGCTGTTCTTCATATGTTGGAAGGAGAAGTCGACAGTTTGATAGTGCCTCCAAATCCCTTTGGCCATGCAGATGGAGCGCAGACCAATGCCAACATCCCTAGGAGACCAATAAACAGAGAATTAGAAGTAATCTCTGAATTAGAATGATAGAAAGTCTTCCTATTGTAGCCTTCTTTTGTTTTCTATAAACAGTTGTACTACGGAATGAAAATTATAATTGAATCAAGTCGATCATAAATCCTTGGTAAGTGTACATGATCTGGATTAGTATCGATACGATCAGTGGTAAATGCTAATATCATAAAAGAAACCGCATATAGACAACTAGATATTTTTTTTTCTAAATTAAAATGTTATAGGCTCATAGCATATCTTTTGTGTTCTATGATTTTAGTCAAGTTACTACTCTATAGAGTTGAGCATTGGGCACATTATACCCATTACTTGCAAGTATTCAATTTCTTTTGGTAAGTACTATACTTGAATTATATATGAAAAAATTAAGTAGTGAGTATGAAAAGAATATATACTTGTAAGTACCAAATCAAATATAAAGTATAAAAGTTGAGAACTGTTTATCCAACCTATTGACCTTGCTTGTTTAATCGACATATTACTTACATATCCCTAGCATTTTTATTGTATTATTAAACTAGCATTTTAGGTATAAATTGATGGTTCTTTTTATTTGTGTTTGAGAATGGATTTTGCTTGATTCATTTCTCTTTATAAGTTAATTTATTTCTCATTTTGTATTGTTATTTGGCTGAGTGAGTACTTAGGGCCTGTATTTTTAGTATTTAATTAATTAATAATTATTGTTGGATCAGTACTCTGTTCATAATTATATTATTTAGAGTTAAAGTAATTAACACACTTATTGGAATGATTTTAGTATATTGAAGTTGATGGTTATTATAGAGTGATTTTAGCACATCAAAGTTAATGGAATGAACAGGTATTTCTACCTCTTTTTGGTTGTTGATTTCAACCTCTATTAAATGTAAGAATTATTTATATCTTAATTGTGAGGACAATGTATTTCAAAAATTAGATAGAATCCACTAATAAATAGAATGACTTTTATAATCTTATATGATACTATATATGCTACTTTATGTGTAATCCTAAATAAAAAAATTAATCACAAAATATTACATTGTATTATACAAAACATTATACTTACAAAGAGTGCAAATAGCATTTGTTTCTCTATTAAAGCTAAATTTGGATGAGGTTGCGTTGTTAGATTTTTTTTTTTTTGTTATATTTCAAGAACTTAAATTCTAATCTTAATTTTAAATTAAAATTTTTATATTAGTGAGTATTTATTTAAGAAAATGATTAGTACATTATTTTTTTTGGTTTACAATTAGTACATTCTTTTACTTGACATATTTTTTAATATTGTTCAATTTAATTATTAAAATATAATATTATAAATATAATTAATTGAATCAACTTTTATATGTTATATGTATAATTATATTTTAAAATTTATTTATTTTTAATTTTATATTAAAAAATAATAATTTTTAATAAATATAATATATAATATATTAAATCGAAATATATACTACTAACTATCTATTAATTTAACTAAAGTCATATTGGACACTTCGTTAAATGACGAGATGCATTAGTTTAATGAATTGTTATTGTCTTAGTGGAGGGGATATCATGGTCAGACAGACATACTAGAATTAGTGCTCCCCTTCTCATTCTACTAATTGGTTACCTTGATTTTGATTAAAAAATATTTAGTATTCCTGTACAGTTAGGAGGCAACTTCATTGAAGCTTATAACTAGAAATTTGGATCCTCATTACTACGAAAGCAATGGGAAGGTCCATTACTCCATCAGCAGTAGAAAACGCTGTCCTTGAAAATCTGAGTCAGCAAGACGCGTTCGATCCAACCTTATCACCTACGGTACACGTTTGAAACACATTATTGAATTTAGATGAACAAAAAAAATACATTATTGAATTTGATATACTTACCCACTAAGAAGCAACTTCGTTAAAGCTGGCTTCCGCTGAGAAAGTTAGATGCATTAAGATGCAGAGAAAGTTAGATCCATGAAGATGAAGGTCTACCTGTCTCTTTTATTGTAATTAATAAGAAGTTCCATCATGATGTCGCTTTTGTTTGCAGGTCTATGCTTCTACGGTAAAAGTAAGTTGTCTATCAAAACTTAAGTCACCTGACGCAGTCATTATTTCGTCCCATCACATCACCCCATGACTCTCAGTATGTTACTATTACTTTCATTTTTGCATCTAAAAATTGTACGTAAACAATAAAAGCACAACTAGCATAGGCATCCAATGCTATCTATCTAACCACATATTTTTTTATCACCAATGAAGTTCTTTCTTTTTCTTTCTAGAAAGGCAAACGACTTTCTTTCTCCGCTACTCACACATTAGGATGTCAGCAAATTTAACGCATAGCTATAGAGAAAAACTGTGTCTATATGGTTAAATTTTGTAGGACTTGCCTCCTAGGCATATTTTGACGAACAAACAAATAAAAGGGTAAATTTTTAATTTGATTTTTTAATTATTATATTGATTTTTGATTTAAATTTTTAATTAAAAAATTTTTAATTTGATCTTTAAATTAAAAAATTTTTAATTTAATTTTTATTATTTATCAATTTAATTTTAAATTCATCTTTTTATTAAAAATAACCTATGTGTTCATTACAAAATAGCAAAAAATCATTATTTAACTATTCATGTCATATTAATAATAAAATAACTTATGTGTTCATTACAAAATAGTAAAAAATTATTATTTAACTATTCATGTCATATT